CCAACACTGACTCAAAGATCCCTCAGTGATTGAAAAGGACATGTAAGCTGATATTAGTACCTGATTAACAGCAACATTTTCCACAAAAGAAAAAAAAACTTATAAACTATCATCAAAGCATTCCTCAAAAAAGGAATTGTACAGATAAACTTTGTGCATGTGTGGGCAAGTGTCTCTCAGCCTCTTGAAGAAGTTAGGCTTTTCACACAGTGCAACATCTTTGGCTCCATCCCAAGCGAAGTGAGATGGACACAAAAGAAAATTTATATGCTTCCACTTACTATCAAATAGAGAATTTTATCACAATAAATACAATACCTGTGAGCAGGGAGGAGGCATACAAAGTGATTGTTCAGTTTTAATGATTTGGGGGTACAAACAAACACTCAGAATTAGGTGATGGTGATGGTTTTGCAGCACTGTGAGTATATGCCATGCTGTTGAATTAGAAATGTTTTAAAAAAGAAATATATTATATATGATATATATATATATATGATTTAAATCTATAAACTACAATAACAAGTTAGTAAGAATATTTATCATTTTTATTTGTGCCATTCATTATCTGTTATTTAGCAAAATACTAAGAAGTAGCTAAGCATACTAATACAATCCCCACTTTAAAACACAGAGTTTGATGATTGCCTAAAGGTCATACTGTAGGAAGATATGGGACAGGTGAGGGTCTTGGATTTTAATCCACAAACTACATCCCCAAAAGCAAGTTCTGATGGGATCTGTCAGATCTTCATATGTATAAATTACTGCATAAGAGAGAAAATAGTCTGGTAATGGTAATTCCAATTTCATGCCTCAGTTTAGTTACAAGATCTTTTGAGAATCAATAAACTCTTACTCATATGTAGTGCAGATTTATCCCGGGCATTAGATTTTAATTCAGTAGCCAAAACAGAGATGACCAAACTTCTATGTTATTGGTTCCACTTTTCTCGGTGTCAAGAGAAATCTCTTGGTTAGAAGTATTGGGGTCTCAGTAGATGCAGTACCACTGTGCCTCCAGAAGGTGAGAGAAAGAATCACACACCCAACTCCCTCTAGCTACTTCTAGGCCCTTCCAAACAGGCATCCTACAAGGGACACCCATATCAATTTTCAGATGAATTGGGGTCCACATTTCAATGTCTTTAAAATTTGTCTGTGGTGGTTAATTTTAACTGTAAACTTGACTAGAAGGAGGAAGCCTGAGAAACTAGTTAGAGATCATCTAGGTATATACATGAGAGCTCTGTTCTAGAGAGTGATTTGAGCCATTGATGGAGACAGCTTTGAGTGGAATATGTAAAGTATAACCACACTGAAATAAACTCCCGGGGGATGGGTCTTCCCTTAGTGCCTTTCTGTTATTGAGTTTGTCTTTTATCCACCAGGGTGTGCACTGCAGTGCCCCAAGGTGCCCTTCCCAAAGATGCTCTGTCTCATTGTGACCTTCACCTATGAGTCTCTGCTCCAGGGTCTCCTCCCCCATGACTCCCTGTTCCACAGTTTCCTTCCACATGAGGCTTTGCCCCAGTGTACGTAGTGTCACTTTGATGATTCTCTGCTCACCGAATAACCACACACATAGACCCAGCTATTGAACACTGAACAATCTGAAGCAAAATAAACCCCTGCTCCCTTGAGTTCTTCTACAAAGAAGTTTGTGAAAGATACTGTAGCTAGAGTTTTCCTGTCTGGCCCACAGTCAGGACAAATCTCTGACACCCGCCAGTCCCACAGCCATTCAGACCCAACCAAATAAACACAGAGACTTATATTGGTTACAAACTGTATGGCCGTGGCAGGCTTCTTGCTAACTGTTCTTACAGCTTAAATTAATCCATTTCTATTAATCTATACCTTGCTACGTGGCTTGTGGCTTACCGGTACTTTACATCTTCCTTGTCCTGATGGCGGCTGGCAGTGTCTCCTCTCTCAGCCTTCCACTTCCCAGCTCTATTCTCCTCCTTGTCCCGCCTATACTTCCTGCCTGGCCACGGGCCAATCAGTGATTTATTTATTGACCAATCAGCAACACATTTGACATACAGACCATCCCACAGTAAGATACCAAAGTTCTGACTAATGGCAAGCTTCATCAAAGCATATGGATACATTCCTAGGAAGCTTTTGTCTACTAGGCTGCATTTTCTAAAACCATGAGCAACCTTTCAGAGCAACATCTGCCCCAGTGGAAATCTATTTTATCATTGTACAATAAGAATTGTGACTTCTTTCCTCTTTTTGGAAACAGACGTGTGCCATTTCTGCCTTGCAGATGGTTCCTATATCCTGTGTCATTTGATATTCCCCTCTGTTCTCTAGTTAGGTAGCTCAGATTCTTAATTAAATGATTTATATCCACAGTGGTATTTATAAGACAAATATCTGCATGTATAAGAAAATGAAGGGGAGCAGGGGATGTGGGGCATGGAATCTGCTTCAAAAATAGATGCAGAAACATTTCAGCAATCTTTTTTGAACCTTGTTGGAGTTTCAATCTCCCCTTTAAAAGTGGATTAACCAAAGTTGCCAAAAAAAAGCATATGCTTTTATATAATACATTCCTAATCGAGGGAGCCTGAAAGCAGTGTGAGAAGAATATGTGCTGACTCCATCTGAGGGAGAGCTCAGACTGGCTCTGACTTCTGAGAGGAACCCTTCTCCTTGGGTAGCTGAAGACAGCACTGGAGGTGCTATCCTGGGCTTAATGCTGGAGGTGTGGTATAGGAATGAAGGTGGGACCAGCAATGAAAGTCCAGCTTGTTAAAGGATGGGTAAGTTAGGCTCAATGGGCAATATAGAAACTTTCCAAACTGTGAGGCTTGTGATCTGTCAGGGTCTTGCTGATTCAGTGCTCACTGAAGGATCTCACCAGCAAAGGCTCGCTTGTAGTCAGATAGGTCAGAAGTTGACAGCGTTCTGCTCCCTGTTTGCACACTTAAGCCTCCAGCCCTCTACATTAAAATCAAGTTATTCTGTGCCACAGAGCCTTCTGAGTTCATCAGGTAGAAGAGGGAGGACAAAGACTTCCACAGGATGCTGCAGGAACTTGGTAGCTCCACGGGGTGCATCGTAGCTTGCCAGTAACCCTGGGGGTGTCTGTCAAAGGTCTTGCATTTGGAGTGATGTTATTGTTTAGCAAATGCTGAGGGAGTAATTGTTTTACTCATATAGCAGAAACATAATGTAGTAATTCTTTCTAAACTGCTGCCTTGGGGTATGTGAGACACTCATTTCATCTTCCTGAAACTCGGTTGATTTGTTTATCAATAATATGCCTACCCTAGGTTCTTCTCAAATGTGTTTGGATGGGAAAATAAAATATGCATGGATATATGAAAATCACCTGATAAATTATGTATTGTCCTTCCTAGTGGACAGTGATAATATGAGTATCTAGGGATGACCTTGCAGATTCTTCACTCTACAAGCCTCTGAAGAAAGAAAATAAAGAGTATCTGAGAACTGCAGCAGCTTGTGTGAGTTACTCAACTAGTTGTTGGTAGAAAAAGAAATTGAAGCTCAGTTGTTTGTGTTTGTGACCCTCCTATGAGGTCTTCTGCCTTTAACAATGGAGTGACAAGACCTCACTTCTCCATGCCATTTTGAATATATATCTGACTATCCTTCTAACAGAGTGAATATCAAAATCTCTTCTTTGATCTATCTTTATGCCAATGTCAAATAAATTAGTGGACAGAAAGTAAATTTGGATGACTGCAAGTTAGGAAACTTTCAGTTAGCTGCTGTATTTCTCCTTTGCTCTGTGATTCAATGAAGTTGCATTAAATGTGTCATTAATTCCAGAAGGAGTTAGAGTTTAGAAGTCTAAGCTATATTCTGAAATTAAGTGCCAGACCCAAACTTTGCTCAAATTGTTCAGAAGATTTACACATCATCCAGTTACGTGCAGGCTGGAAAGTGCTGTGAGGATAGAATGACTACCTGTAGTTCTTCAGCAGTACTATTTTGTGTATGTAGTGCTGTGTGGACAGCAGGTCTTCTCCTGTGACTTAGTGCACTGCAATCTTCTCTGCAATATGACTATGATAAGCTCAGCCTTTCTTTTCTTTTCTTTTTTTTTTTTTTTTTTAAGATTTTCCAGACAGGGTTTCTCTGTGTAGCTTTGCACCTTTCCTGGAACTCACTTGGTAGCCCAGGCTGGTCTCGAATTCACAGAGATCCGCCTGGCTCTGCCTCCCGAGTGCTGGAATTAAAGGCGTGCGCCAACACCGCCCAGCAAGCTCAGCCTTTCATGTACAGGCAGTCCTGTAAGACAGTTGTCTCATTGCCTATATTCACTTAAAAGGGACTGCTTTCTTTCATGGAATTTTATCATTAGTGATAGTTCCTATTTGCCTTTTCTGGAAAATGGCTTTACCTCGGCTTTCACTGTTGTCAGGAAATAATTTCATATCATAGTCTTCAGATTATTCTTCTTGATATCTGACCCACTGTATATATTGTGTGGTACTCTGAAGAATTCTTACCTGTGTCCCAAGAGATCTCTTTTGTGCTTCCACACCCTTCCTATAGTCTTTGTAAAAGTTCTGACTCATGTATGCTCCTGCCCCAGTCATCTGATGGATGACTCATATATGGCCCTGTCCCAGTCATCTATCTGATGGATCAGAGAGCTTCTTTTCAGCAGATAAAGTATTTACTTCATTTTGGAACCCACACATTTAAGGCAATTGAACAATAATGAGCAAATTGATATCATCTAAGAACAAGTTGGTCTAACATATATTATAGCTAAAGTGATATTACAGCCAGAAGATATTGTCTGTTTCTAAACAAAGATGTTCTTAAAATGCAAAAGTGGATACCCTAAAAAATAAATAAATAAACAGACCATATTACGTATTCTGGTTGTGTACAAAATCTCTTACAGAAAACTCTAGAAAAATAAGAGCACACTGTGGTGGTTCACTGAATGACATCCAAACAGGTTCCAGTGGAGAGATTCATGCAACTTGTTTTCTCTTCTTGATGGAATTGTACATGTGGCCTTAGGTACCTCACTATCATGGTGACTCTTTGTAAAGGACTTGGGGAGAACTACTGACTCCTGCCTGCCCCAATCTCTGCACTTCAATGAATCACTGGCAAAAAGAACATCATCTTTTCCTCCCAGTGGTCACCTTCCTGATTTACTATATCTCTATAACTTGAGTCTTGGAGTTTACAACAGGTCTTAAAATACAATTTCAAGACATACTGTGTCACTGGAGAACATGGCCTTTAGGGATTCAAACAGAAGTCAACTCATTGGCCTTTATTAGTACTTAGCATGAGCACTATGGTGTTTTAAGTATAGTGAACATTGCAAAAATAAGATAAAGCCAAGTCATAAAAGACTCTATAACTAGGGAAGTAAAATTAAAAATCAGATGGGAAAGAAGGAAGAAGTTCTAGGACATTGAACTTGCTTGATGGCTATAAAACACCCTGAAACACATGAGATGTCGAGACATTGAGAAAGCCCTGACAATGATGTCATGAATTTAGCTGGGTCATTAAAGTCTAGCAGAAGTGATGATATGGGGAGAATTGGAAATAACAGGTGCCAGGCAAACCTGGACACTCTCAAGTGCACCATGCGTTTAAAGGACAGAGAGAGGCAGACTCAGATCACAGTATGGAGGCAGCTCTTCCCAAAGCAAGAATCAGTTCAAGAAAATGGGGACAGAACCAGTGATTAGACCTGTAGGCCCCTGGGAACTGCACAGCATAGAGATGATACTGCAGAGTCAGGGCAGGACTGTGTGCAGAGATGAAAGCTCTCCTTCAAGAGAAATGGGCTAAAGGAGTCTGAAGGTCAGAATGGCAGCCTTGCACCACCCTGAGTAGGGAAACCAGCCGACAAATCAGACTATGCCCTCACTGAAGCAATACAAATCAGACTTGCATTTTATTGTCTAGCCAAATGCTTTGTCACTCTCATTAGCTCCTCCACCCTCTGCTTGTGTCCACCTCTGCAAATCAATGAGCAAAGAACACCAACTCTAGTGCAGCTGTCTTGATCCTAGAATCAGCAAACCTCTGTGTCAATGTTATCCCATTACTCCTTGTTTCTCTGGCTGGTTTCCTAGTCTCAAACCAAGGACAATTCCTGCCTGCTTGCTTTGTTCTGGAAGACCTTTTACTCAGCAAACAATACCTCATGCCTGGGAAGAGGATTATATGGGTGGATGTGTTCTGTTTCCTCATTGCCCAAATTTTAGGCTTTTCTCTGAAAAATTGAAAGTAAAGGAGACATTCATCTCCACTATCTAGAGCTACAGTGATGTTTTAACCTACTGAAATTTAGATTTATCTAAATTAGATTCAGTTAAGTTCTCTCCTCTGTCATCCCTGTTAGAAAACATGCGGGCTTGCTTTCTAGTTGATGAAAGAGCTGAGATTTGAAGTGTAACTCTTTATTCCCTCAGCTTCCATCCCTGCTTCCTCCAAACATTACACCCCTCCTCATTCTGACATGCTCACTAGTCCTCAACAGGGAGGTGGCCCAGCCTTGATACAGTAAGCATGGAGGGAGGGGGTGATGGAGGGGGGGCAGCTTTGAGCTGAGATTAACAAGCTGCTTCCCTGGGACACCACGTAGGTTTAGCAGTGATTTTCCTCAAATGTGGTATGATCTGGAATTTGTAGAAGTTTATTCTTAGCTCTTTCCTTTGGCTTCTGCAACATGTTAACAGCTTGTGCATTTTGTAATGCCTTCTCTCATTGCCATGGTAACCATTAAAACTTAAGGTATATTTGACTGGAGAGCTGGCCCAGGTATTGGTTGCTGGCATGCTGGAAGACAGTACAAATGAAACGACACCAGGCAGCTGCTTGTTACAGGTATGTCTAGCTGAGGGTTGGTATGTAAAATTTCTGAATAGCAAAATATTGGGAAATGATTATTCATTTCAGAAAGACTAGACAGCAGAAAGACTAGACGGTAAAAATCTTTTTAGAGAGTGAATTCTTGGTTCAGCCCTCAAATTGGATTATTTAATAAATTGCAGGATTCTTCTTGAAAAGAACATTCAGCCATGAGTTATATGACCATAGAAAAGGGTTATCAGTTGTCTTTTAGATTCAAATGCAGCTTAGATCTATCCGCATTTTTGTTTATTTTAAATGGTGGGTGGCTGGCTACGCCAGGATGGAGTGGCAGCTGATTAGTGTTATCAAATTTAGTTCAAGGTAAGCCAATCCAGTCGCATATAATAAGCCCAAGCTTACACAAGCAGGCGAAGGAGGCCAACAGGAAGAGCAGAAGGGACGAGGAACAAGAGGATGAAAACCGCAGCTCTGCAAAGGTTGGTAAGTGCTCGGGAGAGCTTATTTCTAGCCTGCTTCCATTTGACAGGTTCAGGGGAGTTTGTTCCTTTCCAGCATCCATGCTGTGCTAGAGTTTGTAGGAGGACCAGAAATCCATGGAGTGAAGTTTCTACCTCAGTAAATGTGGACATGTCTGGAAATAGCATGTGGGAAAATTAAATACAAATAAAACAAACAATTCTAGTGCGAGGAAGGAGACTTGCTGTGAGTTTGATCACCATGAGTGTCCCTGATGCAGGTCCAGAAGAGAACTGGCTGACTGTGCTGTCAACAAAGGAAGATGCTTCTCAATATGTTAATTTTTATATGACTCATAGGAATAACTAATGTAATGGTTTAGTGGAGGGCAGTGTGCATGGTGGATATATAAAATGCTAAGCTCCAGGTGAAAACAACATTTTGTTTAAAATACTAAAATTCCTTAGAAGTATGGACATCTTTCCATGTAGTTCAGACGCAGGTGACAGCCACTCCCTGTCTAAGGTGAAGATAACAGATTTGCATGGGCCCTATGACAGGGTTTGAAGTAATGACACATTTAAGGAGAGGGAACCTGACATGGTAAGAGCAGCACAGAAACCAGAGTCTTGTTTCTTAATGAGGGATTTCAGACACACTGTTTTCTCCCCTCCTCACCCTTTCAGCCACAATTGTTAAATCCAGAGTCCTGGCTCCAAGACGAAAATCTCAGACACACTCAGCATTCCTCTGGGAACAGTGACTGGAGGAGGCTCCCCTCCATGGTTGCCTTTCACAGGGCTGGCCTCCTGGTCCGGTCCCTGCGTTTCCATTCTCAGGCGCTGGCAGGTGTTACCTTAATCGGAATTCTTACTCATGTGAGACACTGAGACGCAGCATTGTGTAAATGTCTGCCTTGATTCTGAAACTGACAGAGCCTCCCTTTTCTTGTCACTTCTAGCAGAATGAGGAGTGATTTCAGCAGAGTCCAAGATTCCCTAACTGACCAAGGCATTTCTGGCTTTGAGGGCTCTCCCCCAATACACAAAGCAGCAGAGCTGTAATTAAACTCAGCCAGCCAACAGAAAGTGTCTACTCACCAATGAGAAGTTGGTTAAGGGAGTGCTGGTGACATAACATCTGGGAAGAGGCGAAACAAGTGTTGTAGGACTGAAAGGGCAAGGAGCAGGTGACCGTAGGTACAATTCTGACATTCTCTTCTACAGAGTGGGCCTGGCAACTATCCCTGCCTTTGGTATAAACACCAGGACCAAGAACATAGGCACACAACATACACTTAGACACACACAGCACATCGAGCACACATCTAGACAAACACACAGCAGACACTTGGACATGCACTACATACATAGCACACACCAAGATACATACACACAGCATAATCTTAGACACACACTATACACAGCACATGCCTGCGCACACAGAGAGGGCACTTAGATGCACACAAACAGAACACACGTAGATATATACATGCACACAACAAACACCTAGACACACACTACACAAACAGTGCAAACCTATACGCACAGCATATACTTCTAGACACATACTATGCACACACCGAGCACACACTTTGATGAACACAGTATACATAAACATATACATATGCATGTACATACTTACATACTTAGACACATATGCCACACTACACACACACAGCACACACCTAGACAGACACATCACACATACAGAACACATATTAAGACATACACACTATACTCTAAACAATCACATCATACCTAGAAACTCACACAGAACACTACACACACAGAGCAGACATGTATGTACACATATATCACATTATACACACATCCATACAGAAGCACACAACACATACCTAGACACACATATACCATGGTACAAAATAATACACATGGCACACATATATAATACACAGAACACACAATACAACATCCAAACTACACATTGCACTACACACTCTACACAACACTGCATACCACACACACCCAACACATGTATACACATCACATATACCCAGATATACATACATTCCACTCCACATACAGCACATATCCACATATACTATGCACCTCAATGCACAGGAAAACTCAACACACACACACACACACACACACACACACACACACACACACACACACACCTGACAGTCACATAATGCACATCCTTCTTTCCTTTTTCTTTGCTCTCTGGAGCATGGGAATCCACTCATTAATTTCTCATTCCAGTGTTTATGTTCATGATGTTACCACCACCATTATAATCTTACCAAGTTAGACTCAAAGTGTCATCTGCCTCTAGTCTCAGAGGGAGAAGTCTATCATCAGTCAGAAGCAGTTTGTGTCATTGGATGGAAATGCACACAGGTCTCACAAAGTCTGAGGACACCTGGGACTGCAGGAGTGAGAGCAACCTCTGCAGAGTGGGCACAGACTTGATATTGGGAAACAGGACAATGTTTAAACATATAGAGAGCTGCACTTACATGCTGGATTTCAGTGACCCCACCAATTAGTCAAAGAAGCTAAGTTTTTGGTCCATAGTTTCTTTATCTGCTTCAAAAGTGACTGAACCAGATGCCTCTCATGTCCGTTCTCTGGGGCTTTTTTGAGTTATCTGTCCTCCCTTGCAGATAGTTATTAATAGATATAAGAAAATGGGAAAATTGCTATTCCCATCTCATATCTAAAAATGCTGGTATGAGCAGCCAAATCAGATAGGATTTCAGTAGTGATATTGTCAGCGAAGTCCTGCTTTAGGCACAATTTTAAGATGGTCTCCACATTCCTACCTCTAGGGAGCATACACCTCTCTCCCCTTGGAAGTGTGAAGAAACTGAGAGTATGCCATTTCTACTTGTACTTCTCACTTGTAGAAGAACATGTCACAGAATGCCAGGGAAAAACTCCTGTGTTTCTCATGCATAGGCCATGAATTGTGTGTGACTTTCAAGGAACTGAATGTGATCTCTGGGTAATACATAGCTAGGAAAACAGTGGGGCCCTCAGTCTCATCACTGCAGGGCAGAAGAACCTACCAGTAAACAGGAAGGTTGGAAGGGGATTTATCTCCTCAAATAAGAATTGTATCCCCAGCTGACAACTAGATTAGCACCTTATAAGACCCCAAGCAGGGACTTCAGCTAATCTGTGCCAAGATGGTTCCAAATAATGCAGGGACAATGGATATGTGCTACTTTAAACTATTGGGTTTATAGTGTGCATTGAACAGTAAGAGTAAACAATGATGTCACCCTTTCTAGAACACCCTGTTCATATAATCAAGTGTGACTATCTAACAAAGGTAGAGACTGTGATTCACAAATTACACACATATTTAAAACAAAAGGAATCTGAAGACCCAGTTCATTAGCTGAGTGTCATCTCCTATGGTCCATTGGTCCATTAAGAACTCACCTACGACCTGGGCATCAGATCCATGCACTCCAACTCCCTGAGTGCAAAGACCTAGCTGTTAAGATAAGGGCATGTTGCATGCTTGTGTTATTTGGTAATGAGTCACTTCAGATGTTTTAGGGGTAGGTGTTAAATCTCTTATAATGGATATAACTGTGGAAGACTGCTGGTGGGGACATTTCCTCCTGACCTCAGCTGGTGATCACATTGTGCCCTGAAGCATAAGAACTGATAGGCCCTATAATTTTATCCAAGCTAACAGAACAGCAGCTGCTGTCCTTGAAGCTTGGTATCTGATTAAATCCCCAAATTAGACATTGCCTTTTGTAACCTGAATTCTGTCATGGTAGTAAAATCTGACAGTATGGGCTCCTCATTCCCCTTCTCCTATCATAGAGGTTTCTTCAGTAGCACACAGACAATTTCAGACCCCATAGGTTACTCAGGCACTTTATCAGAATTTGGGAATTTTGCAGTATTTCTCAAAATGAGAATTCAATCTTCCTAATGTAAAGAAGGGGAGACGGAGGCCAATTCACCTGCAATTGTATGCCCATCTCCAGGGACATATCTCACTGATTGCCATGAAAATAAATCGGAGTTTACCATTTCAAATCATTGCCAACCCTGTACCATTTCACAGACAAAAGCAAATGCCATCCACTACCCTCTCCACCAAGAACCCCATAAAACCTGCCAGTACTTATGTTCCTGCATAAAGAAAAACACATTACAATCAGGTTAGACTAAAGCCTTCCGGAAAGTGGTTTGGAATTCTGCTTCTTGGAAAATGCTTTATTATTTACTACTTTGTTTCTTCAAGACTTTCTTCCTTCTTCCTTCAGGAAAAGCACTGTTTGCCTCCAGTGTCCGGAGTGAAAGCCTTCAACTGCAGACTGCTGCAATTTCTACCCTAATAGTCAACTAGCAATTAGAACTGTTTGTTACAGTGACAGCCAGAGAAGCATTTCAAGCAACAAGGCAGAAGCAGAGGAGCCAGAACAAGAGCCTGCTCATTTGAAGGGGACTATCGCCACACAGCAGCAAGTCCTGGGATAGCAGGCAATTTGGGGAGCATGGCTGCAAGAGCTCAGCTTTCACACACATGAGGCTGCAACTTTTGAGAAAGAGCTGATCTTTATTTTGCTGGAAGCAAAGAAAATAGGAATCCTTGTTTTGGTGTTTAGAAAGAGATATTCCACATTCTAACTCAATATCCTAATAGTCTAATCTGATATAAGAGGATGGAATAAATTGGGAACTTTAATTGTCAGTTATGGATTTGAGACAGTGTTGCAGGGCTCAGGAAACATCTCACAATAAGAACCTTGCAATGGAGTCCTGTTTACTTTACAAAATGGGGGGGGGATATTTGAAATAGTATCTCTAGTATCTTCATCTGTTATGTGTTCTTCAAGTATTCTGTAAATTATGTTTAAGTTTAATTGACAACTTGGGAGGAAATGTTGTGTTTGGTGCCACATTTTTTCTCCCTGTTCTTCTTTCTTGTTTTTTTTTTCTTCCAAGTATTCTAGTCTACACTTTACAAAATTATAATTAAATTCTGTTCTTGATTTCAGCAATTAAAAGAGAAAAAAGCTTCACCCCTGGACTTGTAAGTTGTCTTTGGAAGCTATCTCTTCCTCTGAAATAAACCAAGAATCCTACTTCTTTTCCTCAAAGAAACCATCAGAGAAGCTTTAAACACTGCAGGGTATTTGATGTTCTCGAAGAGATGTAGTTTTCCTCCTTTGTTCAAGAGCTATTATTAAGTAGAGATTCAATAAATAGCCAAATGCAGGCAATTCTTAGACATTGAGTAAGCATCTTGCTAGATACTTTTGTGTGCACTCATTTGAATGTATTATGCTTTCTATTCTCTAATGAGAAGAGTCAGGTGACCAAGCAGAACTGTGGACAGGCAGCTTTAGGAGGGAGCTGACACAGGCTGGGTGGGTTTACACAGGTTGTTAGGCAAGTCTTGGTGCTGCTTCCAGTGTCTTCTCGGAAGCAAACACTCCAAATGCAGGAAAAGAATATTGCCGCTTTTTCTCTTTTGTTTTAGTATGGATGGGGTCTCTCCCCCTTTTATTTATTTTGCAAGTACGCAACTGCTCTGCAGCAGCTCTTTCCAGAGTCAGAGGTGAAGTCACGCTTGACTGGAGACATCTAAGATCAATTTGTTGCCTCATACTTCAACATTAAATGCAGCTTGAAATATAATTGTTAGTCCATGCACTCTCAGCTCTTAGGAAGTGTTCCAGCACCTCAGAACAGAGAGTGTGGATATTGATGATAAGCCAAAACGTGTACCCTAAACCACAGCTAAACAGAATTTTCAGGTTCAGAGATACATATAGCTCTAAGGAACAAGTTGGGGAGAAGGCAGAACAAAAGGCAGAAGGAAAACACACAAAAAGACAGAGCTTTGGGACTCTCAACCCTGATGAGTGGAAAGCACACAGTCAAATTTGGGGATTTAGTTCAGTGGTAGAGTGCGTGCCTAGCAAGCACAAGGCCCTGGGTTCGATCCTCAGCTCAAAAAAAAATTTGGAAAATTGCAAATAAAATATATTACACATAAATCATTTTTCTTTTTCTTTTTATTGCTATTGAAAAAGTTCTACAACCCCCTTTTCCTTAGACAGCTTCACAAACCCTGATTTGGAGGATGACCATTCAGTCTAGTGACGTCTGGTTTCTATTTTGAGGAACTTTGGCTCACTAGCAGCCTGGTCTGGGAGGAAGCAGCAGGTGAGTCAGCACTGGGAATTGAATGACTAAGTCTTCTCACACCCCTCTGGAATCAAGCTCTCAGATTCTGCCTGTCCTCTCTGATTAAATTCTCTGAAGAATTTTTTTAAAAAAAGTAAACATACAATCTCTGTGGCTCCATAACTTGTGAGGGAACATGGAATCCAGGGCTTATGAAGCTGATCCTATGGTAGGTCCATTCTGTGAGAATCCAAAGTTACAGTGTTTCCTTGGGTGGAAAAGAGAAGATACTGTTATATTAAATATGGCAGTTCCATGGTAACATGATCCTTTTTAGACATATAAGAGAATTACTGATTTATGATCTACCTATCTCCAGAGTGGAAAGGACCTCCAATGACAAAACACACAAGACATAAGAGTCTTGACTTTTCTTGTTAATAGAAGTGTTTTCTAGCTGACTGGCAGCATAGAGTCCTGGATACCAGTAAGGTAGGATATATGAACCTGCTTCATCAACATGTTACTTTGTGACCTCAGACAATTTGCAGCCCCCACCACACTGTGATTTGCCATTAGTTCAAGAGACACAATTCTGTTCCCAGTAAGGGATTTGTAGGATAAGCTTGTCAGTGCAACAGATTCCTATTCAAAATACCCATTTGTAACAAGTTCATTCAACAGCATGCAAATATCCTTAGAATCTCTCTGTACTTTCTAGGTCACTCATTAAGTACATGTTGGTGACACATAGCCATGGTATGGAAAGTTTGAGCATAGGAATCTTCTTACATCTCATACCTTTCAATAATGCTTTGTCTCCAGGAGAATAGGGGTCTTCTGCCAGCACCAGACCCTGTCCTGTATACTTTCACTTCAGTCTTGCTGGCTTTCCATAAAGAAAAAAAAATCTGGCAGGATCTCCTGTGACCCAGTTAGTGAGTAAGCAACATGAAATGAAAAGCTGAATTACCATAGTCACAAGAAAACCTAGAAGCCAAAACTACTTTAAAAAGTATTTGCCAGGTTTATGATGCACAAGGACTTGGGGAATCTATGCCAGCATGTGCTATACAACAACAACCAGTCTTCACAAACCCAGGTTGAGAATGGAGCCCCACAAAGAGCACTTGCTTTGGTGCCTGGAATCCACAAAACTGTAGACTCAATCTCATAAAAAAATGAAATTGAAAGCCTTGGACAACTAGACAATTCCACAAAGAAACCGAAAGAAAGAAATGAATGAAATGACTGCTTCTAGGTGTGGTGGAGGAGAAGGATTTTCTAGATATGAAGAAGAACACAGACAGAGACATCTGGAAGGGTCCAGACTGAACCAACCACGGGAATGTGTGTGTGTACCAGAAGCCAAGAGGCCAGGAGTGAGCCAGGAGATCAAGAGACCTACTTGCCAAAATGACTGATTTATATAGGGAAGAGAAGCTAGGGTAAGGGGCCTAGCCCAGTCTCTGGGCTGGGGATGTTAGAATAGGGAGTGGGGTGAGATGTGCTGGGAGGAGACCCAGGTACTGAGTAATGCTGGGGGAGCTGGCCTGTGTCCTCTTTGATATGTTAATAGCCACCTCAGCGATTTGTTCTGAGGTTTCTTTGAGACCTAACAGAAATAAAATAATATTTTCTGAGTGAAAAGAAGAATGAGATGAATTGAGTCGCTTCTGCAAGGGCATAGACAAAATTCAAGCAAGGCAAACTTGAGATAATAACCCCAGCACTGCCCATTTGGCCTTAGGAGTCGACAGGGCAGCTGGGAGTCCTGTCTGCTCCTGTCACCTTTCAATCCCTTTGTTCCTTCTTTCCCCCTCCTTTCCTCCTCCTTTTGTTCTCTTCTTCCCTATTCTATTTATGTTAATGAAATCAAAATATTCTATTCCTTCTTTGTTACTGCAAATCCCAGTTCCTTCTCCTTGAAAACAAGAGTACAGAGAAAACAGCCCCATATGGGTGTCAGAGAACTGAGATACCCCAAACTCCCCCACTTCTGTGCTCTCTGTGGCACATGGGTGTGTAGATCTATCCTCTGCAGGACACATCTACAATAATCTGCAGTTTCTCACTTTATGCTACCATGAGAAAACAGAACAGAGGATGGCCACGAGGCAGGAACCAGGAGAGAAAAGCCAAGGCTGAGTGCACCTCCCCAGGCTTGGTCAGAACTAACAGGAAACAGGAGGCATGGGTCCCTGGGAGATTCCTTAGTGTAGGAGAGAAAGAAATACTAAAAAGGGGAGAGAAAGGAGTCAGGGAGATTGTGTCCCCTGTACCTTCTAATTCAGCTCCTCTTTCCTTTTGTAGGCCTTCCCATGATGGGCCTGATGCTGATCACACTCCTCAGATGGCTGGATGTCCTCAGAAACGCACTTGCTGTTGATCCCAGGGGAATGCAGGGTTGTAAGCTTGCTCTGCTTATATACATTATGAGAATGCTATCCTTGTGAACTGTACTTGGAGTTAGTGTTCACATGCACACAAACACGCATGTGCACACATGACTGTGCACCAAAAACACATACACAATCTCGACCGGTATTGATGATAAAGACTAAGACAATATGTACCAATTGTTTAAGCAGTTTCTATCTTAAACCTCTCCAGGTAAAGTCACTTCATGGTAGAAGACAACTAAGTGGATCAATAGTAACACAACTACTAATAAGCGGAAGGGCTTGTGTTCAGTCTTTTGATCCTATATTCCATTTGTTCTAACACATCAGTCTGCCTTTGATATCATCTTACTTGGTTATCAAGGACCTAGTTCAAATCTTTATTTCCTTATGATGTCTTTCTGAATACATCAATTTACACAATTCTCTTCTTTGAAGTATGTGATGACAATAATGATGATTTTCCACGTGATAGATTTTGAAAGTCTTTTTCAGTGTACAACGTGGTGATGTATAATTAATTACGAAATTTTATGTTAAAGTATTTATTACTAACAATAGAACTGTATTTTTTAGTTAATTCGAATAATTATATTTCTGAAAGTGTGTTGTAAACTTTGGAAGGCAGAAGGTATCTTCCACATTCTCTCTCTGTTCTTGCAGCATCCAAGTGATCTTTATTCCCACTGAGGCTAGTTACATACTACCTGAGCAATCAAAGCCAGCTATGAGTCACAGTAAGTTAAATACAAGTGAGTCATTAGTTGTATCCCTGCCTGCCCACTGTTGTTGCTTTTGTGGCTACTGAGTTTCAATTCAGAATGTTTTTGCTTCTCAAATGCTTAGGAAATGCCAAGTCTTTTCGATTCCCAGAATTCTCAATCTTCATTTGTGCCAGCTTTTAGGGAGGCCAAGGAAGCCTAATGTGGAGAATAATTTTTAAATCTATTTGTTCCGTATTGCTAATGTTGCATGTTGAGCCAAAACATAAGCAACATTCCACCAGCCATATTGTAATAGATGATAAAACTGAGAATTACATTAACAACATAATCTAATAGGTGTACCTGAGAAAGTATGAATGCACATGGTCATTTTCTAAAATATGCACTTGAAATGCCACCCACTTGGACAGCCGTGGAAATGGGGAAGGAGGGGGAAAGAATCCATCCCAAAGGAGCATCTGGGATCCTGTCCTAGCAGTTATCACCCTTCTGGTACCCTGCTGCGTTCAGGCAGCACAGGCTGCAATCTGGGAGAGTTCATTTCAAGTTATCATCTGAACCTAAAACCAAGGTTACACCTCAAATGTGAGTACAAAATTCCTCCTGAAAAGGCTTACATTCTGCTAAGGCAATGGTTCTGTAGTTTGTTATAATAGATGGAACATTTTTAAGAAACATTCTCAGCCTTATATGAGAAGTTAAAGATAGAAGCTATTTCTAATATTTTTAGAGAAAAAAAAGAGTTTTAACTACCTGATGTACTTCACTATGATAAAACAAGACTAAGAGCAATCTCAAGATTTTTTCCCACAGCTATATCCTTATCTTCATAAGCATGGCAGAATGAGTAAGGGCTCATCTCAACATTGGCTCTCAATCTTTGCATTACCATGTGATCAATACTGTGGGATACCATCAAAGGAAAGTGACAAGGTTGCTCTAGAGCTAAGACTGCATGAGTGGGTCTCAGGAGGACAACTGATGTGGGGGAGGGCGAGCACTGAGCACTTAGGTGGCTATTAGGAGACATCATACTTCACATTTATAGATTTCTACCCTTCACTCTCCCATGTCTTTTCTGAGTCCATACTAACTAGTATTTCCTGAAAGGTGGTGAAGAGAAGCTATAGGAAAGCATGTGTCTACACTGAGGAGACATTTTGACCTTATATTCCAGACTAGAGAGGTATCTTCATGAGGGGGTTGCACATGTAACTGTAAAGGTTCATTATCATGTATTCTGGAACCAGAGTAGAAGTTCCTAACATCCTTAGACAGGACAGTCAAATGGAGAAAAACAACAGTTGCATAAGGAAAGTAAATATATTTACACAAGCAACTGCTTTGTTCTTTAAAAGTTAAAACCAGAAAACAAACTGAAAATATTTGGCAAAGGAATAGATTCCTAACAAAGTACAAGGGGATTGCAGGAGGCCAGTCAAAGCACACACCACATCCAAGCCTCCAAGAAGGCTCAGAAGCTGTATGGACTAGTTTACACTCTAACTCCAAGATGAAACATGGACCAAAGCAACTTGGGGAGGGAAGGATTTACCTGGTTTGTAGTTTACAGTGTCAGAGCAGGAACCCAAGGAAGGAACACGGAAATAGGAACTTAAGCAGAAACCATGGAGGAATGCTGTTGGCTGGTTCAAGTTTGGTTATCTTTCTTATACAGCTCAAGGCCATTTGCCCATTAGAGGGCTGTGCCCTTTAATAACAATTGTCAACAAAGAACATACTCTACAAACACATCCACAGGCCAATATGATGGACACAACTCCTCAGTAGAGGTCTCCTCCTACCAAGTGTGTGCCACTGACAACCAAAGCTAACTATGACACTGACACAATCAGAACTGAAACTGCATAAAAATAAGTTCTGTGGGGCCTGGGCTTGAGGAAAATCAAATCATACAAGAGGACCGTGGAAACGTCAAAGAAATGTGGCATATGTGAGGGATGTTACTAGATATTACCTCTTGAGGTGAACACAATTAGCTGACAGAAGACTAGGGTTGAGATGAGATGAGCTCAATGCATTCTCAAGTAGAATGGAGAATTCTGAGTAGTGAAGGAAACATCTTACAGGTATCATCAATGGACAAAATGTTATAAATATTGAATTACATGAAAATTTGTGATGGTTGAATTTAAAATCTTCGGTAATTTTAAAAGTAAATATAAAAACAATATTGATAACAAGTTATACAACTAATAATCAATTATTAATCACTTATCCAAAGACACTGAAATACATTTTTTAAAACTTAGTTGTGAACTAAGTATTTATTCTCAATCTTGAATAAAGATGTAATTTTGTTCAATGTCTTGATTCATGCCTTTGGTGGTATTTGCCTTTATCAATACCAGAAACACTTTAAGGTGATTTAGACTATTATATTAATCCATAGGAAGTTATCCACTTTCAACTTGTTTAATATAAAAACCGTGAGCCAAACAAGACACCAAATAAACAAAATGAATAAGTAAACAAAAAGACAAAGAAAGTTGCCCATGGTTCAATCCAAAACTTTTACCAAGCTAAGTATCTTCTACTGGAAATCAGTGAATTACAATACAATCAATAGAAATTTCTCACACAGCTCCAAGTCTTTATATTAATAGAGTTAGATCAGGTTTAAACCAAAGGTGTTTTTTCAGCGATATCACCTAATTTCCTGACACATTACAAAATCATCTTCAAGTATCTCATTTACAATGGCCAACACATGGAGGTACAAATATGTAGAATGATGTGGAGATGTGGAGATTTCAGCTAATTTTTTTTTTTTAAAAATTAACACTGACTAGGATGGTGTAGGATGGTGTCGATCAAATGTGTTTCCTCAACAGGATTCTGTGTTTGTTAGGAGATAAAACTTAAAGACTTAGAACAAGTTAATTCTCTCTGTGCTGACATAGGCTCAGAATTCTCTCACATATCATGAGATTCCATATCAGAGGAAAAGTTTATAAATCTTTCGAACTCTATATCCAGCCAAGAAAGATCTATGTGTGAAGATCATCCCACCTTCTTAACTACGAGAGTTTGGAGTAATATGAACCTCAGATTCCTTCTGAAGCAAACTTACCAAATTGTAATTTGAAAAAAAAAAAGTACTCAGAACAATACTGAAGAATGTGGGTATGATTCACTTCAATCAAGAACAGAATTATGGTGTTAGAAACTATGGATATCCAAACATCACTAAGTGATTAAAAACACTAGTGTAAAATTTTCAAAGGTCTACTTTTAGTTCCTCTTACTACTTCCCACATCTGTAGCTCTGAAAACATTAACAAACAAAAGGCCTGTAGCAGTTCTCATACAGAACATTAGTTAATATCTCAAACTGCTTCATGTGTTTACATGAAGATAAGACGCATCAGCTCCTGTGTAGAGTTAAAGCATGCCGTCAATATAAGGGCACCATGATCAGTTATAAATCAGTGTGCTGAGCCCTGTGCTTAAGTCGCAGTACTCAGTGAGCTTGGGAATTGGGGGCCACTGTGAATTCAAGGCTGAGCTGAGCTAAATCTCAGGAACTGTTTGTTTGCCTACATTTATTATGTTTTTCTACAACCAAAAAAATCTAAGGGCTCTGAAACTGAAATATTGACTGTGGGATCTTCTGTAATTTCTACATGAAATATTTTTCTCACTTATGCTAAGCTATAGCCCTTTCCGTAATGGTTCCATATTACTTGTAATTTATCTCTATGCTAACTAAATAAATGACAATAGCTATAAAATTAACCTTAAAAATCAATTTAAAATGGAAACAAAGACCATGTATGATAAATATGTGTGCCCAAATCATGAATCCTCCTATTTAGGGTTGTCTTCAGTAAATTGTTTAAATATTTCAAGTTCTAGATTATTGAATGGAAATATAGTAGATGAAGTAGAGGAAATATTTGTTTTTTTTCTTTTTAAACTTTTACTTTATTATTAGTGTGTGTCACAGAAGGTAAGACGTAAGAAGTTAAATTTTAGGAGTTGTGCTATGGAATAATCAATCATTCTGTATATTGTGAATATGTGTTACTCTCATTGGTTAATAAAAAGCTGACAGACTGGAAGCTGGGCAGGAAGTTAGGTAAAAAAGAGACACTGAAAATGATGGGAAGAAGACTGGTGTTGGGAGAGATACCAGCCAGCTGGTGAGCAAGTAGGATATGTAAAAAATGATGTAACAGGCAACAAGCCACATGGCAAAGCATAAACAAAAATATGGTTTAATTTCAATGTAAAAGTTGGCTATTAACAAGCCTGAACTACTGACCAAGAGTTTATAAGTAACATTAAGCTTCTGAGTGATTATTAGAGACGGGGTGGTCGGGACGGGGAAAACTCCACCTACAGAGTTGGTTCTCTGTTTCCACTGTAGATTCCAGGAGCTGAATTCTGTCATTAGGTTTACATGCTGAGGTATCTTAGCAGCCCCCATCAAAAGCAAACAAAACCTTTCTTTCCAAAGAAATATTAAATATCATAGAATTTATTAAGCACCTGTATAAACAGCTATCATGAGATTGTATGTCCTTTTTATTTGGCTGGTATTATTTACATCAATCTAATGATATGAGGTAGTCTTACTTAACCCTTGACCTGTGCAGACAGCATATTGCCACATGTGGTAGCTTGGAGACTATGAAGCATTCTATTGTCAATTTTGTATCCAATCAATTAGTCATTATTGCCAGTGGTGAAGTTCAGAAGATAGACAGAGTTGAAATAGAATGCACTGAGCACTTGAATGTGTGGATTAAAGAATTACTAGAGTTAAATGAAGAACTTGAGTGTTCACATCCACAACAAACAAGCATGATGGACCAGGTGAATTTCCTAGAAAGCCCAATAGCTTTAAGAAAAAGTATCCAGGTTGAAGAGAGAGGGCACACCTGCAGATCATATCTAAATATCTACTGAATTATACAAAGTGAGCTCCAAGCATCTAGTCAATTGAAAGGTTATATTCTCAACTTCCTATCTCTCTCAAAAGTCCCCAGGAACATGTATTGATTGCTGTATATTGAGCAATCATCTCATATGGTATTGTTTTGTTAGTGATGGTGATAATGCCAGCAGAGTGTCCTGGCTATAGTTTTGATTGTAATAATAAAACACTGTAGCCAAAAGCAAATTGGGGAAAAAAAAAAAAAAACATTTCAGCTAGAAACTCTCAGGTTACTCACCATCACTTAGGAGAGCCAGGGTGTGAACCTGGAAGCATAAACTAAAGAACTCATTGAGGAATTCTGCTTACTGACTTGTTCCTCATGGCTTGCTCAGCATACTTTCTTACATACCCCGGGACCACCTCCCCAGGGATGGCAACACCCACAGTGAGCTGGACCTACCCAAATCAAATCATTAATCAAGAAAATGACTGACAGTCTTGCCTACAAGCCAATCTTATGGAGTCATTTTTTTCTCAACTGAGAGGCCTTCTTCCCAAATGTCAGCTTGTATCAACTTGACAAAAACAGCAACAATCAGCACACAGGGGTTCTATGTCAGTATGTCACTAGTGTGAAAGAGTGTGTAAGGATAGTGTCCTAGTTAGCTTTAATTGTCAATTTGACACAGCTTAAAATCAGGTGAGAAGGGCATTTTAATTTGAGGAATTGCTCAGATCAGATTGGCCTGTGAATGTGTCCTTGGGGGATTCTCCAGACTGTCACTTAGTTTAGAAGGGCCTAACCCACTGGCAGTGGCATCCTTCTATGGGCAGGTGGCCCTGGCTGTATAAGAATGCTAGGTAAGCCGGGCGGTGGTGGCGCACGCCTTTAATCCCAGCACTCGGGAGGCAGAGCCAGGCGGATCTCTGTGAGTTCGAGGCCAGCCTGGGCTACCAAGTGAGTCCCAGGAAAGGCGCAAAGCTACACAGAGAAACCCTGTCTCGAAAAAAACCAAAAAAAAAAAAAAAAAAAAAAAAAAAAAAAAAAAAAAAAAGAATGCTAGGTAAGCATGATCCTGAGAACAAGCTAGCAAGCAGAATTCCTCCATTGTTTCTCTTTCAAGTTCCTGCTCAAGTTAATGTTCCAACTTCCCCCAGGATGTACTGTAATCTGTAAACTGAAATAAACTCTTCCCTATCCTAAGTTGCTTTAATCAGAATTTATTATTACAGCTACAGAGATGAAACTAGAATAAATGGGAATAGAGTGACCTTGGGGAAGACTAGCATGTGACCTTAAAGATCTGTAAAGGTCACGTTGATAAATTCAATGGGTAGGATGATAATGCCTTATTTTGAACACACACAGGAGTCAAAATGAATAGATTGAAAAGCAGCACTTCTCCCCCCAGCTGTGCAGGGATCAGCAAGACCATTATCAAGACGCTTACTCTCTGTGAAATGGTTTGTGTTGAAATTATTTTTTTAAGGGCATCATTTCTCTTGGCAAAACTTCATTACTAATTTGCCAATTGAATATCCCATAAGATATTGAAAGGCGTTAGTGAATGCAGAGTGAGTATTTTGATTTAAATAACATGTGCATCCCCATTGTTCAATAATAATAGGATGGATAACATCTCCTTTAGATTTTCAAATGTAATTTATGGTGCTAAGACTGTTAGACAGCAGATGGATGAGATAATGGGTGATGCACAAACTGCTGGAACTCAGGTAATGATTGTGATATATTTTGCATAAGGTTATGATAATCTGAAAACAAAGTAATACTTCTTTTTAAAAAACAGCCAAGGAGAGTGATTAATGAAACTCTGGTACAAGAGGTGGTCTGAGTCCTATGCTGCAAGACTTCTGGATTAGTTTGGAAAATTTCCTTCCAAACATGTGCATCCTGGCAAATCCACATGGAAGCAGGGATCTGAGGCTGAAGCATTTCAGGATTTAACACTGAACAACCATGAAAAACTATATTGACCAAAGTAGGCAAATAACTCCTGGTTGATTCATTGCCTCAATTTTGCTATTCCTTTAAGTAAATTAGAGTCAGATATTCATGGCTGCAGTCTCGTGATATCCTGAAGTTTTCTTCCTTTATGAGGTATTCTGTAACTGGAAATTTTGCATATTTACCTGATAAACATTTTGTTTCTGTGTGTTTAGTTTGCTTCTTTCATTATTCTATCAGGATAAACTCTAGCTGATTCTCCCCCTTCTAACTACCTGAAGAGGTCATAGGGTAAACTCTGAAATATTTTACAGGATCCTGTGTACAGCAGGTGCCATAAGCATATAACTCTGAGGTTCTCTATAAGCGTTGGGGCATGCCATGGTACCTGTCTGTGAGCAGAGGCCACTACAAAGTGATCCAGTTCATATCTGAGAAGGCAAATGCTCTGCCATCAGACCAAGGAGAGGAGACATTACCTCAGATAGATATTGTTGGAAATGTTATTTACTCAGCCAAGAGCCAAATGTTACAAAGATATGACTAAGAAAACTTCAAGCTATGTGTACTCTAAGTGGAGGCTGGTAAAGGACATCCAGGAACTGACATGGACAGTGAGGTCAGAGAAGGACTTGATAGGCTTACCATAGCACTTGAACTACTGAACTCTGAACTCGGAGCCAGGTCCCCCCAAACCAAGCAAAACATTAAACAGACATCTAGGGAATAGCACTGTGTAGAGAAACATTGGTTGGGAAGCGAGTGGTATCTGTTTATACTTCCTCTCTGCTTTGCATATGAGAACAGAGGTATTGAGTGAAAAAGAGAATATGAGTGCTAAATCCTGCAGTTTCCAAGGAGGCCTTGAGACTGTATGTGAGCACCTGCCTAGCATGGGCAGACCAACACCACATCAT